GTCATCAGACTCGTCTCTGCTCTTTTCAGGCATTTTCTGCCCTGGATAAAGAGGACACCGGTTTTGTAAATGCCACGGAGTTTGGGCAAGTCCTGAAGGACGTCTGCTGCCAACTATCGGACAATCAGTACCATTATTTTTTGAGGAAACTAAGAATTCATCTAGTGCCCTACATAAATTGGAAATATTTTCTAGAGACCTTCAGCTCTTTCCTAGAGGAGGTAGGTGTCTGCAATACGTAAGTGTCTTTTTATGAAAATGAACTGAAATTAGTTTTTACAAAATGGGTAATTGATTAAAACCACATCAGATAAATTGGCAATCACCTCATGCAATTAGCTCATTCTAAATGAAGAATTGGTGTGAATTCTACATAGAGAATTAGAAGGTGAATATGTATCTTCTACTTTCCTGCAAAGTTTTTTTTATTTTATTTTCAAAAAAATCTTGGGAGCTTGCTCTTGTCAGGTTGTTCTAGAGTTCTAAGGAATCTTAGGTCCTAGAAGATGATCCGGTGTCCAGAGAAGCAGGCCTGCTGTGGTCCCGGCCCTGGGCTGTGTCCTCCTGGTGGACAGGGAGGCAGAGGTGAATGTGGAGGTGGGGGTTCTGACAGGGCAACAGGAGGAGAGGCCTGGGAAGGGCAGCGAGGGCTTCGTCTAGGACCCGAGTCCCTGACACCTGTTCCTGTGTACGTGCGGCTGCTCTGGGTGCCATTGGTAATGGGGTGGCCATGTCAACTTCCCTGATGCCTCCACAGCTCCCAGTGTGTGGCATTGACGATGTGCCCCGGCCTGCTGGGCCCTGGCGCGTCCCATGTTCCGACTCCTGCCAATCTGGTGGTGGGTCCGGGCAAGTGATTTTGCACGTGTCGGGCGTCTCGGTTTCCCCGTCCACAAGCACCGGGGGAGTTCCCAGTCCTCTGATGCCGCTTGAGTTTCAAATACCTTCTCCTGTCTGCCCTGCGTCTGCTCTTCAGTATCGTGACTGCGCTTTTCAATGACTACTCTGTTGTGATTTAAAACATCAATTGTGGAAATTTGAGGAAATATACAAAAGAAGGCAGCCTCTGGAGCCCGCCGTGGTGGCTGCCGAGAGCCCCCTCAGCCCCTTAGGGAGCCGCTGCAGGGCTCCGGCCCTCGGGTGCCTCCCCACACAGGGGACGGAGCAGGGCTCAGCTGTGGGGCTGAGTTCTGTGCTACGTGACTCAGAGCCTTGGAGATGACTTTTCAGTTTCAATCCGCTCCTCAGAGTGGAGATGACAATATACTTGGGTATCTTGTTGTTGTTTTTTATTTTTTTCACTTAACGTGGAACTGCACTATGTCACTTAGAGATTTTCCAAACACCAGTTAAAATGTCTGAACCAGCCCACTGACTCCCTGACTTTCAAGCCTTTTGACTTTCCCGAGCTCGGCCACGTGGTCTACTCTGCAGTGAGCACCGTGTGCAAATCTGCATCCATTCTTTCTTGGAAAGAATCCAAGAAATAAAAATAGCTGGGGTTGGGGACAGGG